ATGGTTGCTCCCACCAAAGAACAAACCCTTCTTCCCAGCATGCCCCTGTTCCCACCTAGAAAGTAACCTAATACTCGCTCACCTCCTACCACCTAGTGACATCACCAGCTCCTCCATTCCCTAGTCACTACCTCACTCAACCCCTCCTCAGCCCCTACAATCCCCACCCCAGTCTCTATAAAAGACTCTCCCTGCCCCAGCCATATTGCTTTTGTCTCTCCTTTGTTCAGAGACAGCCCAGCAGATCTATTCCCCTAATAAAGGCTTGTTGTGGCCTGGTCTGGTCTTGGTCTTCGGCCCTTTTACCTGACAGGGTGATGAAGACTATCCTCCAAAATTGTAGGAGAATTAAGATATTGTCAGATATAGAAATATAAATATATAGAAACCATCGACTAACAGACACATTCCAAAACAAAATACTAAAAAGACAGTTCTTCAGGCAACCATCACAGGACATCAAACAATAACTTATATCCACATGAAGAAATGAGCACCTGTAGGATAACTACGTAAATATAAAGATACTACAAATGTACTTTTAGTTGTAACTTATGTGATTTAAAAAGACAATGACATGAAACCATATTTATGATACTTATGAGACTGTAAAGGTAGCCTGCTTATAATGTGTAATGATACCCTGTGTGACAACAGTACAAAGGAGAGAGGAGGAATGAGGTGTAATTGGAGAAAAGTTTCATATAAACCAATGGGACTAAGGTTTTGTAAATCAAGATGTTACTTGTAATCTCCAGGGCAACCACCAAGAATATAACTAAAACACAAACAAAAAGTAAAAAAAAAAAATAATAATAATAATAATAATGTTATTAAAATTGATATACTAAAGTATACCTATTTTTCAGAAAAAGTAATGGAGAATTAAAGGAATAAAAAAGAAAACAAACAGCAAAATGCAAAAATAAATCCCACTTATTAGTAACTAAACTGAATGTAAATGAATTAGATTCCAATAAAACGGAAGAGATCAGCAGAAAAGATTTTTTTAAAAAATGATCCATGCTGGGCATGGTGGCACATGCCTGTAATCCTAGCACTTGGGAGGCTAAGGCAGGAGGATCACTGCAAAGTCTGAGGCCAGCCTGGGCTATACAGTGAGTCCAAGGCCAGCCTGAACTGCAAAGCAAGATCCTGTGTCAAAAAGAAAACAACAACAAAAAAGATCCAATTATACTATAAGAGACACAATTCAAAGATGTAGACAGATTGAATTAAAAAGTTGAAAAATTTTACTTCAAATATCCAAAAAGGGAGCTAGAGTAGCTATATGAATACTAGATAAAAAAATATACTTTAGGACAAAAGTTGTAACAGAGACAAAAAAAAAACCTGTTTTACAATGATAAAAAAGACCAATTATCAAGAAGAGATATCAATATAAAAATATATATGTACTGGGCCGGGGATTTAGCTTAGTGGTTCTGCTGGCTGCCTC